CAATAAACATACTGACAGAGTTTGTCAAGCTGATATCCTGTGAATTCTGACACCCACACACAGCAGCCTACAGAAAACAAAGCAGTTACCATGACACTAGTGTTATTAATTATAGCTAGACAGTTCACAGTCAACCAGTTCTAAAGTCATATTAGAATGTTTTTGTTTCTGTTGATGAATATGAACAGATTTTTTTCCCCATACATATGGAATGATTCAGACTGTGGTTGATATTTCTGTATCTATAAATCTACATTAGTTTGTTATCCCTATTCAAACCGATACAGATAAATTGTAAACAGTGTACACAAATGATCACAGAAATAGTTTGGTCTTCTGATAATGTGTGGAAATATACACACACAGAACATCCCTCTGTGTGGTTGGCCCCGTATCAGATACAGGGGACAGTATAGATTGGGAAAACTCGCTTTGATGCGTTTTTAATTTTCCAGTAGAAAATTTTCAAATGAATAAATATCATTCATGCCAATGATAATTTCATTTGTGACAATTTGGCAAGTTTTATGACAAATTTAACATGATTTCTAAATTCTATAACGTTACTGATGGAGAAGAAGCTACAGATGACTTGAAACGCACTGAATGACAGCATGACATGCACAATAGCATGTACCATTATGCATATACACCCAGTCAGCGATGGACATGCAGGCAGGCATTTTTGGCATTGTGGCCTGTGATATAATTTTGTCGATAGCTGATTATTGCTTTGGTCCCTGCTGATCTGTTTTTATGGGACACTATGTTCTAATGTTGATAAGCTCTCCGACTTTTAATCAATGAATGTGTAGGTTTAGGGTGTGTCTCAACCACCAACCAGTGCGTAGGAAACGTGGAGGGGAGGGGGGAGGGTTGTCAGATTAAGGGTGTGTCTTTACCAGTTACTGTGTAAGGGAGGGAAATGCTATATTTTATGTCTTTAAAGTCCTGTTTGCAAGATCAATATTTTAAGCCTGAAAAAGGCAAGGTTTAGAACATTTTTCACCCTATACTGCTGTAATAGTTGATATTAATATTGGATGTGATTTACCAGTATTTCAACATGCCACCTAATGGTCATTGATTGTTTACCAATATATAGGGTTGTTACACAACAGATTATTTATTTCTTGCCAACAGTTACAACAAGGTCACTGTTTGATATAAACAATAAAACATGATCAAAATAGCAGAGTACCAGTGATGACACTTAATTTGAAAATATCCTTCCAACTATTAAGTGTGTGACAATTATTAGTCTCCAAAAATAAAGTCGAGGCAATAACGCCTCAGCTTCAGACAATAAGTGTGAATTTGATCCTCCTCGTAACGCATAATTTGTCTAAGTAGGACTCTTCAGTGTTGTGTAGAATAATGAATTCTTCCATCAAATTGGCATCCCGTTGCTACAGTAACAGGAAGTCACTCTCGTAAAACACATTTTTGGGTACTAAGAATATTATACTTGATGAAATGAATATTCATTAACTATGTGTGCTGATCATGTGACATTTGATGTATTTCATCGCTATTGCTTGCTTATCACCACACCAGAAATATTTATTACAGACCGTGAAGCATGGGAAATATTAAAATTTAAGCAGACAATTATCTAGGTGTTTGTGTATAATTGCCTTGCTGTCTTGGTTGGCCCGATCTGACTGGTTATATGGAAGATTTCCATGTCATAGCATAATCAAAAGAGACCTCGCGCCTGTTACATAACTCCAGAGGGATTCCAAACAGAACTTGTATGACCAACACATGTCAGGATTGTCAATTATGACGGGCTTTCAACTGAACAGCTAAGAAATTTATTGGAAAATAAAATGACATGAAAGCTAGGCATGGCTTGTGATTGATTCTGTATAGGGTCGTGTGAGACTCAAAATGGCAGCCTCTCAGCTTTAGACGCTTTAGATGGAGATGGCTGTGACGAGATACCACCGTTGTTCTTTCACAACTATTTTGGGACAGAGGATGCGTCATGTGGCTTCTGTTGCATGGCTGTGTGCCCCAGTAACAGCACACGCACACATGTCTTGTAAAAAAATCTCCTCTGGATGTTCCCCATTAGCTAGGAGACACCTGTTCCCGTTTTATCAGTGGGATTCTTGAAGCTCTTGACTTGATTTCCGCTCCTTAAAGACAGAATGTGGTGTCCAATCTGGATAGCACCTGTCATTGCTTATAAAAACATACAAATATCATACTTATCTTTCAAAAAGACAAAAATCACTCGAAACACAAGTTCAATGTTACAAATGACGTAGTTCAGCTACCAAGGCATTTTTAGTTATCTCTACACAGGAAATGATTTTTATTTCTATGTAATCATTTTGAAATATCATAATTTAGAAACAGAAATAAAAAGTAAGTTTCTCAAAGTTGCTGGAAGTCTACAGGTTCATGATGTGATGCGGAGCTCTTTTAAAGATAGAAAAACATGATTTTAATAGCCGTGTAGATAGATGGAGGAACACTAATGTGATAAAACAGGGTCTAAATGGCTGTTCAGAAAAAGAGGCAGAAAAACAGGATCTGAAGGACCGCAGTGACAGGAAAAAAAGGTCTGAAGGGCCATACTGAAACAGGAACAGAAAAACAGGATCTGAAGGGCTGCAGTGACAGAAAAAAAATGTCTGAAGGGCCATACTGCAACAGAGAAAGAAAAAAAGGGTCAGAAGGAAGGTAGTGAATAGAGGTCAAACGATATACAGCAGTGTAGTTCAACCATGATATTTTTCTTCCAGTCTGGTACACAGTAAAGTAACTCCATACTATGCACCATGGTGGTAAATCTTATACATGGTGACTATTTCACTATCTGTCGATAATCCCAAATGCTTTATAAAAGGTAGTTTTTGATTGGTTGAGTTTAAAGGATACCCTGTTGCAAATGGGCTCATATTTCACCTGTGTTTGTGACCAACCAATTTAAAATCCTTTTTGATTAGAAAGCACAGCACCAATGCTCACTCAAGTTGTGATACAACACAATCACATTTTGTTACATGCTGCTACCACAGTTATTTAATATCTGATGCCTGTAATCAAATAATAATACATGTACAGCAACAGAAATACAGGGGCTGAAAGACTGTATGTATGCAGCAACAGAAATACAGGGGCTGAAAGACTGTATATATGCAGCAACAGAAATACAGGGGCTGAAAGACTGTATATATGCAGCAACAGAAATACAGGGGCTGAAAGACTGTATATATGCAGCAACAGAAATACAGGGGCTGAAGGGCTGTATATATACAGCGACAGAAAAACAGGGGCTGAAGGGTTGTATATATACGGCGACAGAAATACAGGGGCTTAAGGTCTGTATATATACGGCGACAGAAATACAGGGGCTTAAGGTCTGTATATATACAGTGTCAGAAAAACAGGGGCTGTATATATGTGTATATACTAAGAATAGAAAAAAACCAAGGCCTTTAATGTTTACAAACAGGAACAACCATTGTAGAATAAATTATTTTGAATAGTTATTAATAGTATTAAGTGATCAATACTTGTATTTGGTAGTTGATAAATACTGTCACGTAAGAAAATTGATAACCTTTTCAATACATTATCATTATTTTACGTTATAATTTGTTAAAACAAGTATTGACCATTTGTCAATTAAATTAAAGTCATTGTTGATTTAATATAAGTAACTACTTCAAGTGGATAAGGTTGTTTTTCTAGCTCTCCTAACTGATGTGAAGGACACTATTTGTCAAGCTGACAGTTGTTCCAAAAAAAATACCCTATATGTCATTGACACCTTGCCTTGTTCCATGCAACTTTAATGTGATACTGATGTGTCCGTTACCCTGTCATACAAGCAAGGGTGCAAATGAAACTTTATGACCCAGTCCTGGTGTGGATCACGATGGCCAAATGTGGCCCAATGCCACAAGTGGGATGGCCAGTCAAGTCTAATAAATACACTCCTGACATGTCCTCACACATCCCAACATTAGCGATGTACACTTGTATTCGGACATGAAAAAAAACAGCCTGTTTAAAACAACGAGGAAGTTGTTCAGTTCGTCTGTGTGACAACTTAATGTGGGACTGCATGAAAGCTGTGTCTCCACCACAAGTTAATGTCAGATCACATCAACACCCAAATTGTTATCTCATGTCATTTCCTAGTGAATTCTTTATCATTTTTGTCTTCAATTATTCTGTTGCCTTCTTGCAGCTTATTGAGTATTAAGGCAATAAAAGGGGTAACTGCATCAGGAAAACATATTAGTAACAAACTGTCATTGTTCTCAATATTCTACTGGAATTAGGCAATAACAGCCTCCACGTAACTTATAATGTATATATGTTTACCTATGTATACCAGGCACTTATGGTACAATGGAGAGTGGTATAATCGCATTTTTAAGGGAAGGGTTAGAACACATTGGTGCGGATATCTTTCTGTAACACAGAAATAAAAACTGGTACCTCATGACACTTAATCAAAATATTTGTAGTGATAACTGTTTAATTTCTATTGTTTATCTTTTGAATTGAATTCTTGGTTTTATTGTTCTGAAATCATAAAAGTTGATTCATTTTTCTTCATCCTTTTTATTGTATCAATCAATAGCTGTCGCCATGGTGATATGTCACTTGGTCATGATGTACAGATAATTACTCATTTCATTTGTAATTGATAAACATTAATGAGTTACCACCCTTGTATTTTTTCAAGTCCCTAAAGAACTGATAAATTGTAATGTGTTATTGACCTTGCTTTCTTGAGGGTCTCTAGGTTACTAGATAGTGTTGTTGAAACTTTCTTGAGGTACAGTGAATATACTATAATAATGAGCCATTCCCTTGTGTTTTTGCAGGTCCTTAGGGTACTAGATAAATTGTAATGAGTTTTTCGCCTTTCATTCTTGCACGTCCATAGGGTACTAGATCTGGTTTTGTGATATTCCTCAAGTTATATACTAATCAAATTGTACTGATTTATTCCCGTTGTGTTTTTGCAGGATTCCTCGGGACATGTACTGGATAAATGGACAGTTGCTACAAGAGAGGAAGAACATATCATCCTTCAGCAATTTCTGCGGTTTGGAGAAACCAAGTCCATTGCCCAGGAAATAATTTTACAAGATACCAAAGATCAACAAGATCTTTTCATCAAGCAATCTTCACGAGCAGACTCTGAGATAAAGAAATTCATCGAACGAAGCAACCACTCTATGCATAGTTACATGCGTAGTCTTGAATCTAGGCATCTTTTTGCCAACAGACTTCCATTTGTGCCCGTTGGCAGTCGATTGATGACTCCACCAGTTTTGCCTAATTTCTCACCACCCTCATCTCGTGACCTGCGACCTCCTACAGTGACCGCCTCATCTAGCCCAGTTACTACTTCACCACTGGGTAGACTGCAGACAATGCAGCCATTTGACTACCGACGGGAGCAAGGCAGTCCAACCATCAGTCCAAGCATCCCTGAGAAACATTTACCTGGGTCATCCCCAAGTGAAAGTCCTAAAAACCTCAGCATAACGCCAACATCACACAGTTCATCTACCCCACCATTTACCCCAATAAAAGCTCCCCCAGAAAGCAGGGAACATACACCAATTACCATTGCGACGCCATTGGCGACACCTATGACGCTTCCCGTATTACCTCCACAGGATGACAACTGTAACAATGCCATTGACTATTCCACAGGTAGCAGCAGTAAAGAGCAGCAGGAACTTCAGGCTTCAGTCCTGTACAATGAACGGAAAATGAAACACTTACGTAAATCCAGCCATCCAGTCAAGCGGAGCTGGACGCCATCCTCTGGTTTTGGATGTACGTTCATTGGGCCTAATGGAAAGAAGCGTGTTTTGTGCACGGCTTGTAACAAGACATTTTGTGATAAAGGTGCTCTGAAGATCCATTATAGTGCTGTGCACTTGAAGGAGATGCATAAGTGTACGGTGGATGGGTGTAATATGATGTTCAGCTCTCGGCGCAGTAGAAATCGGCACAGTGCTAACCCTAACCCAAAGCTACACATGCCTCAGAAGCGTATCAAGCTACCTGATGGGGCCAGTATCATTGACGATGGCAGTAATAAATCCAACCGAATGATTGGAAGTCCAATGGTGGGTAGTCCACCCACTATGGTTATGCATCCTTCTCTCGGATCAAAATCCCAGCTGTCTCCGATGGATCTTGAATCATCTGATTTGGCCCGAAGCAATCATGCTTTCTATGCAGAGTTAAATGCACATTTAGCTATGTTTCCAACACCGGAAAAAAAACAGAAGCTAGACGAAGACTTGGACAGCCCACGGGATTTGAGTATGACAGACAGACGAGACATCAAGATGGAATCTGACTCCGAGTTAGATGATATAATTGATGAGGATTCGGCTATAACCGATTCTCCACAGCAGAAGACTTCTAGTCGACGTAAAACAATGGTGCCCACCAGATGTGCACAGGAAGAGGACCATTTTGTGATGAGTGATGATAATTCTGACGACAGAGATCCTGACAGTTGTAAGGATGGGATAAGGGATCGACAGATTAAACCAAGTTATACTAGAGGGGAAGATAACTCTGGATGTGAAGGATCAGCTAACTCCCGCTCTCAACACAATGGTATGCAGCAATGCTCCGACAGTTCAGGAGAGGATTGTCGTGAAGGGAACGGAGAAAACTACCACCAAGAGAGGACTTTTTTATCTGATAGTTGTGGCAGGGACAAGGATTCCTGCCACCCAAGAAAAGACTTTCCCAAAATAGCTTCACTTCTGTCTGGGAGCAACCAAGCTGTTGACTACTCAACACGACGGCAAGACGACTTTGATGACAATGGATCAATTTGTTCAGTCATCAGTCACTTATCTGACATGGACTCAAACCATTCAGTTTCATCCAACGAATCACAGAGCTTCCTTAGCAACGGAACTGAAAATATAGAAATACCTATCGATAAAGACAATCCAAGGAAGTGTACTATTTGTAGCAAAATCTTCCAGAACCATTTTGGTTTAAAATCACATTTTCAAAACGTCCATCTCAAACTGATGCATAAGTGTACAGTAGAAGGTTGTAGTGCTGCCTTCCCATCAAAACGGAGCAGGAATCGCCACGCCTCGAATCTCAAACTCCATCATAAACTCTTGTCAACCTCGGACACTGATGACAGTAACCAAGTGTACATTGACGAAGGTGATATGGATGATGAGGATGATTTAGATGATGAAGATGATGAAGAGATGGGCATGAAGGAAAGGGAAGAGGAGGAAGGAGGCGAGGAGGAAGAAGATAACGATGACAGAAAAATGCATACACGGGAGACAGATAAAGGCAGGGAAAACGGGAAACATGTCAATGGCAATCATGACTCCGACAATGACGAAGACAACGACACAGATATTGAGGAAGGTGATATCAATGAAAATGGAAAGGCATATTCTAATGGGATGGAAAACGGGATAGAGATGGAAGAAATATCTGTAGGAGATAATGGTATAGCAGTCAACTGCCATGTGTGTGAGTCCAAGTTCAGAGATAATCTTGCCTTGAAAGAACACTTTGAAGTTAATCATCCCAAGGAGATGTTCTACTGTACCGTCAAAGGGTGTGAAAAAATCTTCTCAACACGCAAAAGCAGAAATCGGCACAGTCAGAATGACAATCTGCATCGGCAGCACGGGTCAGTGAAGAGAAACGGCATCTCTTGATGTCCTGGTTATGTTCCTGATTTGTTCAGTAACTTATGACAATGTTCCTGGATGTGTGAGCCAAATGTTGAATTGGATAGTGAAGGAATTATCATTCATTAAATATCACACATAATTTATGAATACTGCAACGAGATTACTTATGCAAAGAGTTTTTTCATACATCTTTTCTTTTTGAGAGATGTTATGATTTGTTTTTCTCAGTTTTACAGAACAAGCAATAAGTGGACATCAAGATTGATATTGGATGTTGTTTACCAATGTTGACAGAAACTTATGCAGGGTTAAGCAGATTGTGAGAAAAATCATTGATGTGTTATCATTCTGCCAAAGTGCTAATTCAATCATCATGTACATGGATAAACCTTGGAATTTCCTCAATGTAAAGGGGACAACTATGCATTTTGTTTTTCTTAGGAACATATTTGATGTTTTCTTTGTGATTAAAAAAAATAGCATTATTTAATGTCAGACCCTAGATCTCATGAATGCCATAAAAACTTCCAATAGACATGAAGATATTGGCATGTTTATTTGACTTTTTGCAAATGATGGATATCTGTCCTCATCTGTAGGTATTATACCTGTACACTTACCTGTCGGTTAACCTGTACACTTACTTGAGGTTATACCTGTACACTTACCTGTAGGTTACACCTGTACACTTACCTGTATGTTATATCTCCATACTTACCTGTCAGTTAATCTGTACACTTACCTGAAGGTTATAACTTTACACTTACTTGTAGGTTATAACTGTATACTTACCTGTAGGTTATACCTGTACACTTACCTGTCAGTTAACCTGTACACTTACCTGTAGGTTATACCTGTACACTTACCTGTCAGTTAACCTGTACACTTACCTGTAGGTTATACCTGTACACTTACCTGTAGGTTATACCTGTACACTTACCTGTAGGTTATACCTGTACACTTACCTGAGGGGTAATACTTGTACAATTATATGCAGGTTTTACCTGTACATGTTCCTGAAGGTTTTACCTGTATACTTAACTACAGGATTTACCTGTACATGTACCTGAAGGTTTTACCTGTATACCTGCCTGCTAGTTTTCTTTAATGAGGCATTATTACTCCCTTATAATAGCAGTGATACAATTTATCTTCAAATGTTACATGTTAACTATCCTCAACTTTATAACTTTGTCAAGGTCTTGTGTAAACAGGATTATGTTCATACTTTCAAATGAATCACAGGTTACATCTTCAGAAGAAATAATAGTGATGTCTTTTTATTTAAAAAAGACAGAAAAAAAATCATCATCTGAATAATTAACTTTATAAAAAGTCAATCTACCTGTTGTTAGATGACATTAATTTTGTTGTGTATTTTGAGTTTGAGGAGAGAAATACAAGTATGAAGCTCTGTGGTGTAGTGGTACAATGTACCACAAGTGTTTTAGTGACAGATACTTACCAAGGAGAATTCTAGTCCCAGAATAGTCAGTCCCATAGCATACCTTTAGCCTGTGGTAAGAGGTCGAGCAATAGGTTATGTGGTTTGGGTATCCACCTGTGTCTACCTGGTTCAAATCTAGTCCCATATTTCGCAGTATTACCTGTAGTCATGGTGATGCTGTAACAATATAGAAAATGGCCAAATGTGATATGTTTATAATATTTTAACTTATTTTTAGCATGTTAAATAGTTTTAAAGTAAAGGTAATATGTTTTGTTTTAATTGTATAATTAGTATACATGGATGGGCACTTTCATGATGTGTGGCAGTACAGGTAGTTAATTACCTGGGACAATACCTGTACATACTGTTGATAATGTAGATACATAGTAGCATTTAGCTTCTCAGTCTCGTGGTGATCTTTATTGTCTGGTGTTGTGATTAAGTATGTTTTCAGCAAAACTCAGGTATGCAAATATTTTCATATTCTTAATTTATTTTAGCCAGAGTATGCAGCAGCCAGTGCTAGTTGTGTAGTTGTATGCTCTGACAATCCGGAATAGTTGTCTCCCCTCTGTGGCCATGTGTACCTCAGGAGTAAAGAAATTTATTTTTAATTAAAAATATCTAAATATGAAATCTTTTAAAATCCTTGCAATACTTTTCCAGAGATTTGGAAATTTCAAAAAATAAACCATATGTGGTAATAGTACTTGTTAATGATTGCTGTACATGGCATACCAGGGGAGGTAACCAAGTCACAAAGAGGAGACAACTCTGGAGATTTTTTGGTCAGCGAGGCATGAGAATCTCAAGATGTAGATGTTGTCACATTTTTTATGCAATACCTCACAATTGTTGTCCCTCCTCCATATATATATACATACTTATATAAATATACTAGACATTGTATATACCCAACACTGTCCAGGATAAGATGTATCATTTAGCCATTGGTATGTATGTAGTAATGTATGTTGTATTTTTAGATTAATTTATTTCCTGTATGGAGCTAGTTAGCAGTTTTGGGTACTTGCACATTGATCCTGTCATGTAGGGAATTGTGGGGCCAGCTTAGATAAAATAAACTGTATACCAATCTACTGAACTTTAGCCAAAATTATATTCTACAAATCAAGTTCAATCGATGCCAATTGTCTTTTTTTTTTTTTTTTTTTTGTAGGACACAAAATATTTCAGCATTTTCTTCATTCCTGTTTAGCAAATGGAATTAGAATCCTCTTTGAAGGAAAGTTAAAATAATTTGTTTGTTGATGTTTCAGTAAGACCTACAGTGATGTCTTAAAATTATACAATGCTCTATAAACATTATACCATGTTTTGTTTAGATTGTACATTGTTGCAAAATTACATAGTTACCTCAGACAAATGCTGAAGTTTCTCTATATCATAAAATCATTGTTGCTTCCAGTCAAGTTTTACTAATATTTAAAATATCTCCCACAAAGCAATGGAATATGTCTCATTTTCTACAGTATAATTATTTTGCCAAAAAGGAGAAATGAAAAATTGGTTAGATTTTTAAAGGTTTGTTCATGATGGAATAAATCTTTTGTTAGTTTTTTACTTGTTTCATACAGAACAGTATGATGCAGACATCACAATATTATACTCCCTGTTATTGTTTAATATTTGTTATTCATCGTCATGAAAAAATATTGATTAACAGGCTATGCCAAAATAATATTTGTTTTTAACATTTGTTTCAAATTTTTCATTGACATCCCAAAAATTATGATATTAAGAAAAGCAGTTGATAATGTTTGTACCTTTTACATATAAGAGTTTCTTTATTACTGCCACAATTCCAGAGTGACACAGTAGTTCTCTGGGGTTTTGCCAAACAGGCTGAATGTGCAATCAGACACAGGTATTAATAAATGCAATAATTCTTGTATAAATTTTTAGACAATTTTTAGTGATTTTTGTAGCCTGTTAATGATTGTGCAGGGCTCCAGTCCTCAGCATTACACACTTGCAATATGCACATTTTTACCAACACTTTACTATGCAGTTATAGTTGGTGTATTTGATATGCACTGTTCTTTTTTATAGTATGCAATCAGTTATTCATTAATGTCATTGTAATTATGCAAATCTTTTTTACTGCACTCAGTACTTATGTTGAGTTTTTGTATGGTAGGTATATAACATATATGTAATCATTATTGTTAAATTTACATGAAATTCACTCTATTGCACATTTTTGTTGGTACAAAATCCTGCCATTTTACCTTATCTGCCAAAAACATAGTCAGCTTTGAGTTACTGTGATATTGTTGGTTCAACGTTAGTTTGTCTCATCCTTTTGCCTACTCTCCTGTTTGTATACCATTAGTGATCATCCTTCGTTATTGTAGTTCTTTCAGTCTACAAATGACGTTACAAATTTAAAAAATTACCTTTTATTAATGAAAATCATATCATTTTGTTAGTTTGTTTAGACTCCCCCCCCCCCCCCCCCCCAATATCGTCCTAGTAACTTATTGAAAATTCAGCTGTCTGTGAAAATAAAAGGATGAAGAAAACTGATGTAGGTGGAAGATATATCAGGTAAAATGCAGTCTTTATTTATATCATAATTGTTGTACTACATATTGATGTTACTACTTACGCATAATATGTCTCAATAATTACTAGTCAATTTTGTGTCAGTTGCACATCCGTCCATTTTATAACTTGACACTGTATAACTGTCTCAAAGTATTGAACACTAAAGTGGAGAAAAAATCTCTCTTTGCTCGGGTGTGTTTTAGCATCTGAGTAAACTTTTGTCTTGGAATGACGACCTGAAAACAGCTTTTGAATGAGATAATAAAGGTTTACATTTGATCACGAGTAGGACGTGGTCGTTTTTACTATGTCAGTATTTCTAATTTCTTACCTTCATGTAAATAGATAAACATGACTCAATCCAACTTGAAATATTGATGGTCTTGGAGAGTTTTGAGTATTTGTCTTCCATCGTGTTCCACCGTGATTCTAAATCCTTGCTGTTGATTACAATCTACATACTCTGTATATACACAGCCATATTGTTAGGTCTGTAGACCCTCATAAAGCTAGATCTCTTGTCTCCAATGTCATGGATGATTTTTCATATGTCAGGAACAGAATGGAGGGGGTAAGCTTCAATAAATCTGATTACCAGATCATCTCCAATAGTTCACCTGTGCTGGAATCTTCAAGAAGATGGTGATTCTAGCTATGTTACCTGATTGTCATCATAATTGTACAGCAAACTTCAATGGTTTTCTCTGTCCCATCTAATGAATTTACATAAAAATACACATTTGTGTTGTACTTACACTGTATTAGATATAAATACATTATTTAAATTTCATGTATCATTACAGCGATAAATTCCCTGCATTGTATTGTACAGTGGTTTTACAAACATGACCATTATATAACTAAATTCACTCCGTATTGTATAGCCATCATTCAATACAGTGTTATACATTGTGTAGCCATTGTTGTAAATTGTATAGCCATCATTCAATACAATGTTATAATCTCTAAATTGTATAACTATTGTTCAATACAATTTGATACACTCATTTTACATTGTATTGCTGTAATTCTGTACAATGTGATACACTGTATATTGTATTGCTGTAATTCTTTGCAATATTATACACACTGTACATTGTATTACAATGATTCTATACAATGTGATACACTTTGTACATTGTATTACAATGATTCTATACAATGTGATACACTTTGTGTGTTGCCTATCTTCTCACTGTATAATGCTACACACTGTATATGGTATGCACTCCACAAAACCATTTGAGAGATGATTTTCTCGCCTCCTTAACATATTTTAATCCTTTAGTCTGTACAGTTAATTATTTAACACCATCATTTGTACACATCCACTAAGTCAGGTAGATTGGTAGTATGTGCAGTTCAGTTATATCTGTTGTTGAATATTTTCAAATAAATATTTATTATAATTACGACCAGTTTTGTATCAGTCTTAGTACTAGAATAAAGTTCATTTCTAGCAGAATTGTCTTTTTGTTCTTTATGGATGTTTGACAGAATCTATTTCACTTACTTCCAACAGAAGTGACCAACTTATTATAACAGAACCTGACTGATTCAATCTGACAGAACCTGACTGGGTAATCTGACAGAACCTGACTGGCTCAATCTGACTGAACCTGACTGGGTAATCTGACAGACTTGCTCTCTATGAGAGAATCTGATTGACTCACTATAAAATCTGATTGACTCACTGCTACAGAATTGACTGACTCACTATGACAGAACCTGACTGACTCGCTTCAACAGAACCTTACTTGACTAGCTGCAAAATCTTAATGACTCACTACAACAGAGCCTGACTCACTATGACATAGTCTGATTGACTCACTATGAGAGAATTTGACTGACTCAATGCAAAATCTGAATGACTTACTACAACAGAATCTGATTAACTCCTTACAGCTGAAGCTGAATGATTCACTACAACCGAATCTTAGTGAATTATAACTGAACCTTGCTGATTGAACAAACAAGAGGTCTAATGGTCTTGAACTACACGCCTATCATACAGCAGAGGAAAAGAAGTCTTTCCAGGAAAAGTCTCTCTATGCTTATCCCAAACTTATTAACCTACCTTTGAGTTTTTTTCAGGTCTGTATATTCAGCAATGGAAATAGCCCTTTCTTTGAGTTACTTACAGGTCTGTATATTGAGTTATTTACAGGTCTGTATATTCAGAGATGAAAATAGCCCTTCCCTTGAGTTTTTTTACAGGTCTGTATATTCAGAGATGAAAATAGCCCTTCCTTTGAGTTTTTTACAGGTCTATATATTGAGTTATTTACAGGTCTGTATATTGAGTTATTTACAGGTCTGTATATTCAGAGATGAAAATAGCCCTTCCTTTGAGTTTTTTTACAGGTCTGTATATTGAGTTATTTACAGGTCTGTATATTGAGTTATTTACAGGTCTGTATATTCAGAGATGAAAATAGCCCTTCCCTTGAGTTTTTTTACAGGTCTGTATATTCAGAGATGAAAATAGCCCTTCCTTTGAGTTTTTTACAGGTCTATATATTGAGTTATTTACAGGTCTGTATATTGAGTTATTTACAGGTCTGTATATTCAGAGATGAAAATAGCCCTTCCTTTGAGTTTTTTACAGGTCTGTATATTGAGTTATTTACAGGTCTGTATATTGAGTTATTTACAGGTCTGTATATTCAGAGATGAAAATAGCCCTTCCTTTGAGTTTTTTACAGGTCTGTATATTGAGTCTGTATATTGAGTTATTAACAGGTCTGTATATTGAGTTACTTACAGGTCTGTAAATTGAGTTATTTACAGGTCTGTATATTGAGTTATTTACAGGTCTGTATATTGAGTTATTTACAGGTCTGTATATTCAGAGATGAAAATAGCCCTTCCTTTGAGTTTTTTTACAGGCCTGTATATTCAGAGACATTAATAACCATTCTTTTGAGTTATTTTGTTTGTTTATTCGAAAGAAGTGGTTTAAAGATTTAAGCCTGTGATTTTGAAAGTGGGTCAAGGTGATTTATTTAAACAAACTTAAAATAAGCCTTTATTCTTGCTTGTTTCTGACCAAATGACTGTGATTTTTGGAGCGTGATTCAGAAGAAGTAGTTCGAAATACTTGAAAGGTAATAAAGAGTCTTTATTTAAACAAATTCAATAGTCAATTATCACAATGTCCCATTTCATGACAATGAGGTCATGGGTTGTTTGAACAAAGTGGTTTAAATGACACGGGTAAGTCAAGGTCATGGTCACTCATCTAAGGTAATTTTGCTAGTCTTCAACCAAACATGTTTCAGACCAAACATCGTGATCCTCGGGGCTGGTTTGAAATACTGGAAATGTGTGAACAAAGTTGAAAAGTTCATCCGCTCCAAAAACACCTTATCAAATTAAATATCGTGACCCTGGACTTTTACCGTTAGTAGCTCACCTGTCTGACACCAAAAGGTAGATCTTTTCATTTCGTTTCTAAATTTGTATGAATTAAAGTTAAACTCGAGAAAGACTGAATTATTGCAATGCGATATTCATTAAAACTTTGAAAAAAACATATGTTACAATACGGTAAACATCAATAACCAAGTGGAAACCATGTCAATCACGTGACAGTCATGTCCAAATAAATATTATCGAACTGGAAAGCATAATTCCTTGATTCCCGTTAATTTCACAATCCTGACGTATTTCATGACCATTGGTCCAATGGTTAGTCATAACAGGAGAAGCTAGTAATTCGAGACAAATGATAAGGAATCTTGAACACATTTGACCTTTCAAATAGGTTAATAACATTTATTTGGGCAAACTAAACTGACTTCCATCCAAGGATGCTCCATTCCGTTCTAAAAATAGTTAAATTAAATATTTTGTGTGCAATTTTGTTAAATATTTATTATCATGAAGGGAAAATGTACAGTTTTTATATTTACAATTCCATAATTGAAAAAAGATGGATGAAAATGAATCTATTGCTAAATGTTCTTTAGAACTAAATACAAAAGATTCTTATACTCAATATGTTTTAGAATGAAAGAGTGATTTAAGTACCTAAGGTTTTCTACATGAGATGATCCATTCTACTCCATCCTCTGCTCGCTACGTCCTTGGCCGGTATACATGATCATGGCTGGAACTGTTTTGCGGACATTTTACGTCCGAACTCCTGGAGACGTCTGCAGATTTAATTTAGGCTCTGTTCGTTTTGGTTTGGTGTCGCCTTGGCCCCAGCGGATGTCAAGGACAAAGAGTTGTTGGCCTAGCATTGATATTCTTAACCATGTATATATACCTAATATCGTGATTACCGTCAATCATTACCTAAACATTAGTTACCGATCTGCCTAACACGAGAGTGATATCCGATATATAGCCTCTGCATTATTTATTTTACAGCGAAATTCGCAACTTTAACATCTAAAAACGTATTTAATGAGCAGAACGTTCTCATTTCTACATCAGTTTTTGAAATATTGATAAGTTACTGTCGAACATCGTTATCTTGAAGTAGGCGGGACCGTAGGAAATCTTCGAGTTATCCAAGTTTCGATTTAGATAAGTTCGAATGTTTAGTGTGAAATTTGGCCTGGACCGACGAAATATTTCGAATAACAGGGTCTTCGAGTTATAAAAAATCGAGTTAACGAGGTTAAACCAAATTTTGAATATTAACAATATGATTGGCGTTGTGCCGTGGGGCATAAGTACTGGTTCATTCGGGACTGAACTAATACATGGTTAAAATTATTTGATTTGCTATCTTTTCAATTTATTTTTTTTTTACGAAAAACGCATGATCAGTTTTATTTCATCTTTCCATTTTTTTAAGCATCTGACTTCGATTTATGTTTACTGTTGTAATTCCAGCGTGACAATGTGAAGATATCCCGGACATTCCGTCAACGTGTTGTAATTTCATTATACATTGACTAAGTTATTCATTAGCTGAACACAAGACGCGTCTGACGACTCTATCCCCCAATTCGATTGTCGACCTCCTGTGACTTACACTGCTATCTTCTGTTGGCAGAGGTTTCCGTGCTTGTCGACAAGGTTGCTCGACTTTTCGTGGACTTTTGCCATTTCATCTATGGATTTACAGTCTTGTGGCATGGTAGATATCTACAGGAACCGCCCGGTCGTCTTGACAAAGTTTTAAATATATATGACAGTAGGAATTAATGCGCGTGACGGACGCAAACATGTTCCTCCCTTGGGATTGGCTAATATCTCCTTGGTTGTGCGCGTGCAGCAGTAACATTCTCTATCAGAAGTACATAATCGACATCAAAGGCAGGACCTCTTGAAACATTCATGTTGATTAGGCGGGCTTTTATTTACCTTTGCGACGCACAGAAGAAAAAGCCACAGCACATGTCATTGTTTCCAAAAGCAGACGACGTCACACGTTGATATCGGCCGGGCCAGCTTACAGGAGGTCTCTTGCTTAATCAGAATTGGCTGTCACTCTCTAATAAACGACCCACACCAATTAATTCCAAATGAATTATTGACCATTTGCCACATACATGTTTGACGAGATTAACGCTAGAGATAAGAAGACGATATATGTTGTGTGTAAACCTCCCAAAGTACACGTGCTTTTTTACAGGACCATAAAGCAGCACATAACCTTTGGCTGAGACAAGGTGAGGTAAGGTAGGAACAGCAAGTTGGCAGTACCATTACACTGACAATGTAGGCTAGCCCACACCTTGGTCCCATTACACAAGTGCTCAATTGCAGCATGCAATGTGGGCTGATTAAAGTTCCATCATGTGAGAACCTTGGTGTGAACTGACACTTTGTCCAATAGTGGTGTGCAGTACATAGGGTTGCTAACACCCACCAGGAGGACTAGTAGGTACCGTTTTCAGGCTTTGTCAGAGGTGTCTCCTATCCAATTGTATGTCGAACGGTGTAAATGTACTGAAATTGTAGGACATTGCAATATATTTACAATCATTCGGATTCTCTTGATTGCAATAAAATAACAATACGTACATTCAAACGCAGAATCGATTACCCCGGGACAAAATGCTATCAATTAGGGAAAAAATTACAGAGAATTAGAGCTTGTGTTGTCGGAAGAGTTGGGTTCTCCTGTGCTATCGATGATATTTATTTCAGTCCAAAAGTTGAGGGAGCGGTCGCCGAAACACATGACGGGCCTTCAGTCTCGGAAACTCGCTTAAATTTAGAGATATTATTATATTTATCAGAAGAGAATTCGTCAATATTTTGAAAATGATGTTAGGACTTAATCAAAAAGCAGGTCACAAGACACAATAAAGAGAGTGATTGAAAAAAAAAACCGCATACGGAAATAGAATATTTTCTAATAAAATTTTTATAATTTTTCTTAACCTGCATCGGTCGATCGTGTTGTGAGTTTGTCAGTCAACTATCCATGTCTATCACGGAATTCGCGAATTTCGGATCAATTGTGACCTGAACAAACGACATCTCTTCACCATCTGTCCA